AGACTCTAATAAAAAAAAAAAAAAAAAAGAAATTAAGTGAGGACTCCTAAGGCCAGGGCAGGTGACCAGAAAGCCACCATACCAGTGCTTCTCAAAAGTTGTCTCTCCATAGTATTCTCTAGTAAGGCCAGCGTAAGCCACAGTGAATTTAAGAATGTAGAGAATTTTCTGAGGACCACATTATGAGGGTTACAAGAATATTCCATTTTCACTGGCCATAAAGACTGAGTTATGATATAGGGTAACAAACCAAAGCCAGAGTCCACAGAGGCTTAGGATTGTACAGGGTGATATAGATGACTACATTTTTACCTATAGAAGTGGCTTTCCCCAAAACGTTGGATTTTACTTCCTATCTCACCACCACCTAACTTCCCACGTGATGTTATAGAAGACTTTTTATCCCTGACAGTTTCCAGGCTTTGTTGTCTGCATTAGGCCAAGAAGATCTGGACTTATGGTTGCCAGATAAGACACAGATAAATGGCAGATAAAATAACTGGGCACCCTGTATTTTTTATTGCCAAAAATGGCAACACTATCTGGACTAGAACGGGAGTTTTCTTTTTCCTTTTTAATTATTTTTTTAAAGGCTGAGGTGGTTTTTTCTTTTTCAAACAAAACTTTCATGGAAACTCCATAAATAATCAGATATTCTGGCTCTGGGGGCTAGGGAGTGGAGGTTCTGGGACCTCATTTCCCCTCACTCAATGCCAAAAGCCTGCTTTAAAAACAAGAGCTTTCTTTAGTATGAATTTCTATCATTGGGCCTTAACTATTTAGTATTTAAGTACCTGTTTCATATGCTTTAATAAAGCAAAATACAGGCATAGAGAGTTCTAAATAACTCTAAATGCACTGGTAACTTCTTACATAAATAGCTCAGTTTGAAGATGAGAAAAAAAATGGCACAGTAGTTATTCATTACAATTGAAACCGACAATACTAGCTCTCTCAATGTTTTCCTGCTGCAGTATACACAAGAAATTAGATACCTCCGGTGATAGCTCATTACAGCACTGCAGCACTGATTTTAAAGGAGGGGACAGAGGAGGTGGAAGAGAGAAGGGCTTTTCTTTGTTTGCTTATATTATGGTAGAAACTCCAAGTAAGGGGGCCAGGATGGCTCACAACTGTAATCCCAGCACTGTGGGAGGCTGAGGCGGGCAGATTACCTGAGGTCGGGAGTTCGTGACCATCCTGGCCAACATGGTGAAACCCTCTACTAAAAATATGAAAATTAGTCTGGCGTGGTGGTGCACGTCTGTAATCCCAGCTACTTGGGAGGCTGAGGCACGAGAATTGCTTGAACCTGGGAGGCGGAGGTAGCAGTGAGCTGAGACTACGCCACTGCACTCCAGCCTGGGTGACAGAGGGAGACTCTGTCTCAAAAAAAAAGAAATTCCAAGTAAGGGACTCTGAATTTACTGACACTCTCCATTTCGTTTGTAAACAGGTTCACTAATGGTCACGTACACCGACCTCTTAAGGCCAACAGGCTACTCTTAGTCGCCCAGGCACTTCTGTTCTTACCAGCTGAGTTGCTTACTTGCCAAGAGTCAGCTGTGTTTATTCTTAAATTTGTTTATGACAGGTTGATTGTAATGTAATAATCTAGTTTAACTATATACCACCTAAATCAATAAAAAGAGCACAAATTGATGGTCAGTTCTATAAAAATTCAGTTAAATTCTTGAGAAATATTGAGAAAGGCAGTCAGAAATAACTGCTGTCTACTTAGGTGGATGCCACAATGTGAAAGATAGAGAAAAAAACCTATACAAATTCTGCAACCAACTTGCTTCATAAGTATCTTTAACTTCTTAATCCACTTTAAGGAAACAAACT